TCTTTTGAAATTAAATTACTTTTATCTTATTTTAAAAGTTATTTTATTTTAATAAAATTATTATGTATTTACAGACTTCGTATAATTTTTTCTTACTTAAGATTGGCAGTTTTATGAGCATAAGATGAAGATCCTTGTACATAGTCTCTATATCCTCCAACTGCTTCTACAAGGGGTGCGATAAAATTTTCCAAAAATCGTCGTAAACTCAACCTTACCATAAGCTTCAACAAAAAATTTCTATGATATAACCGAGTAGTTTTAAATTTTGCTATTAATCCTGAAGGAAGTATATCAGCATGTGAAGAACTATCCATGAAAGAACCATTTTCATATAATTTCATAATAGGTAAAAGAAATGTTCGTGCAGCATCTTTCGGACCTAATGCTCTGGAAAAAATAGTAATCATGCCTATATTAAAAGAATTAATTACATTATAACTTAAAAAAGTATTGAAATATTTTGTATATGTGAAATATATAAACAAAGTTATTTAAATTTACAATTAATAAAAAGTTAACGATATTTAACATTAAAAATTTAAAACGCGTTTAAGTATGTATGAAAAATTTTATAAGTAAATGATAACTTACTTCGCAATAGGATCAAACAAATACCAAGCAGCCAAAACAGCACTATAAGGTTCTTCCATTATTTGTTGTATATGTGGCACTATTAATTCTAAACATGCTTCTCTTGCAATTCCAGTATAAAACAATAAATGTTCTAATTCCCTTGCAATTGCTTTCACTTTACATTCGCTAATTTTGCAAAGAAATTTCATTTTTGTTTTAAATATAAAATCTATATCATCTTCAGATTTCATTATAAAATTTAATTCACGTACTAAACTATTGTATTCTTGTAACATTTCTACAATATTAAACAAATATTTATAGTACTTGGAAAATGGAAATAAACTTCCCGAAAATATTGGTTGTAAAAATTGATGGGCAGATGGTGGAGGTAGGCCCATATGTGTAATAGTTGGGTAACGAAAAGGCATATCAGTTATCTGGAAAAATATAGTTATTTGCATTATATTTCTTATAATATGTATAAGCTATATATTTAATTCTTACTTACTTCTACATTATCAATATTGTAAGTTTTTGATATAATATCAACTTGAAGTAATAAAGCCACAGCATTTCTTACACATTTGGGTAAACTATCTGCTGCACTTTTCAAGGTGTTTACACATGTTGCAAGTCTTTTTGTAAATGATAGCTTTTCAACATTCCACGTTGCTCGAAATTTATTAGATAAAAATATTTCCACAATTAGACAACCAAGAATTTGTTGTTCTTTGATACGTCCACTAGCCACAATTTGTTTATAATTTGTGGATAATTCATGTAATTCAATTTCTGGTTTGTATACTTGAGAGCTTACTTTATTCATAAATGTATGCATGGTTTCCACCTGCATAATAGCCGCAATAGGATTATAATCTTTCGGAAGAATTATTGCCTGATTTGTGGATTTATCTTGTTTAATACTGTCTTCAGCAGTGAGTAAAGAACCTCGAGAACGACTCAATAATCGACTTAAAACCAAAGGTGATGATCTTGATGTACTTATAATTGATGTTGGTAGTTCTTCTTCTTCAAACTCAGAACTATGGCCTTCGTCATCACTAGTTCTATTTCCAGATTGATCATTTTCTACAATAAATTACTTAATTAGGACAAAATTGCAAGAAATTAATTAAAAACATTACAAATTTGATAATAAACATACTATACTTATTTGTTAAGAAAGATGAACGTAACCGAGGTGGAATCTTACACCAATAAGGGGAAGGAATAATTTTTTGTGGATGTGGCTGTGTAAAAAGTTGAACAACACCAGAATTAGTTAAACTGGTGTGATTGTCAACTAGTTATCAATACGTATTACAATAAAGAATATGTACTTGTAACCAAAAGTTAAGTCTATCCAATGATGTAATCTTTCGGAAACATGAAAGCTTTCTAAAGCTTCCCTGTGCCTTTCAATAAAATCTTCTGGAGAAGTAGCCCATCCAGGAATTTTTAAATCTGGTAAATCTTCATGAATTGACTGTAATTTACAAATAGTAATAAACATGTCATACTTATTTATATTATTGATAGAAAATTTGCAAAAGGTAGTTTAACTAGGTACTACACTTGAACTTATTGTATTAAAATTAGTTTAAATTGCATTTGAGTTATTTTCTTGGAATATTGTAATTTTCTTTAAAGTTTCCTATGGGTAGTGTACATTGCATAAATTACTGAATTATTTCTATTTTTATTTTACCTTAAAAACATTAGGGTCATTGAAGAATTGTGGTATACATTCATCTGGACTCCAATCATGTAATCTCTGTATAGAAGCCGGATATTCTCCTGGAACCCATTGAGGTCGTACATACTTGCAAAGAACAGATTTATGATAACGACGGGAAAGGTAAACGTAATATGTAATTTCTGATAATACATCTGATACATGATGTCCTACCTGTAAGTATTACCAAAATTATATTAATTAAATATTTATTATACTATAAAATTTAATATGTATGATCCAATACATACTTCAGTTGACTGTGAATCAAATGTTAAATCTAATTGTCTATCACCCTTGTTCAATCGAAATTTGGATTTTGTCAAATCTCTCCAATTATTACCACATCTTGATGTGAAATCTGTGACCCAAGGCATTACATGATGACAACTTGGATCACCATATCTTCTACCAGCCAAATTGTTTAATGCAGTCAAATAATCATAGTTGCTAATACAATTATATACCCACATTTCACATAACTTTTCAATATTTTCATTCATTCCAAATTTCGAATTTCCTTGTAATATAGAATTTGATGAAGTTATATCATAACTTTTTTTACATCCACTAAAATTTTTTCTTTTCATTTCTTGATTAGCAGAAACTTTTGAAAGCTCACTTTCAGGTTTTATGTATATATTGTCACTTACTCTTGGTAACACCTAATAATAAAATCTGGGAAAGTAGTAACAATTTCAATAGAAAAACTAAATTAGCAAAAGAGATTTATAGAAAACTATGCAAATATTAACCTGAATAGTAAAATTATCCATGAGTAAAATATCACTAAGAGTAATTTCACCTAATACTAGACCTCGATCATGCAAGTCTCTAGATAATTGTAATAATTGATATATCAAAAACAATGGTTTTCCATGACTTGCACTTAAAGCAGCAGGGCTATATGTTACACACCTTAAATAGTAATAAATAATTAATTATACACAATTAGTAAGAGATTGTAATTCAAATTTGTATAATAGTATATACTTACTCACGAAGAGAGTATTCTGCAGTTTGTTCATGTAATGTTAGAAAAGCAGATGCAGTTTCAACAGCAAATATGATTGGAAGAAGATTACAGTGCACTTCGGTTGACACACCAGGTGATACAGACACCACTGATCCATTTAGAATTTGTACTAGAGTACAACCATACATTTTTTGTAATATTTCTTGCATAATTGATATATCACTAATATTAGCAGTTATATTACATTGATCTTTATGTTCTATACAATTCCATGGACCTGTGTGTGTGTGTAGTGTATGTACATATATACACACAAAGCAGAAAATAGATATTTTTTATTAAATAAGTAAAGAATTATTCAAATTTAGTAATTTATTAGTAGATTAACATTAGTCAAATCTGATTAAAAATACGTACTGTAATATTTTTTATAACATTCTTTCCATAAATTTCGATAATTAGTTTCTGCAACATAGTGCATTAGTTGTGAGAATGTTAGATCAGCATGAGTATTTCTATTTATATTTCTTCCTCTTGGGAGTGGAACAGCATATTTATGTTGCTTTTCATAATTCTCGA